GAGTTATTCCAGATTCACATTTCAACTGGGAACTTGGAAATTCTGACTTGGGAACACACCCTATTTCTACCACCTTGATGCTGATTGCCGTTTTACAACACTTGTTCAAACAGCTCTGAATTTTTGTGACTGTTAGTTATTTGTGTTTACCCAAAGTAATGCCACAAAATGTAGTTCTTTGATGATTCTAGTGAATCGTGAGCTTTTGATCTACGTTTTTATGTGTAAATTGTTACATTTTGTTCAGGCATAGATGTCTCTTGTCTCTCGTTTACATATTTCTCTAAGTTATTTTTTTCTGCTGAATATTTTGCTTTATGACCAAATTGTCAACAAAGTTAATAGCATTGCTTATTTATTACTGATTAGCCAGTCAGATTATTAGCCAATTGGGATGCTTTACAAAGCTCTACAGAATATATATTTTTTAGATGAGGGGATGTTTGCATTGTCTGCTCTATGTCAATCCTTCTTACCCATAACATCCCTATCTGTGCACAGGCATGTTACGGTACATGCAGAGCTCAGGACAGAAACAATAATATGGGTCTATAAATGAATGACTGTGCTATAATAAATGCACTGTCACAAAATCTATTGATTCTTTCCCAAACACATATCATTAAAAAACTCTAACTAGTGCTTTAAGGTAGAATCATTTTCACTACAGATGTATTTAGTTACACTATAATTATACACTGAGCTGATACAGATATTTTGTGAATAAGAGACATGGGTGAGGGGTCCCACTTTGAGTGTGTATGGCCTTGATTGAGGACTCATGGGGGGAAACGTACATTTATAACGTTGTGTTGCTGTTTTACTGTTGTTGGTTTTTGCTTTTTTATTTTAATCCTAATACAATATTTTAAGCAGACTGATAAGTGACAGTTACTTTTAAAGGTTCAGTACTTACACTGTTTTTCTAAGTACTTACCACAGCAACAGCTGATGAGGCCAGGAGCTCCTCAGCTGACATTACAGTGTAGTATGCCACATTGGTGAGCACATAGCAAGAAGTCACAATTGCCATGGAGATACAGATGGCGAGTGGAACAGTCCTGAGGGCCGGAGGAAGCACACTGTTAGGCACTTGTAAGACTTACTCGTCCTTCTTTCCCTTGTATATCTATGTCTGTTTTACTTCCATACATGCTCCACCTATACAGCTTTCTAAGAGACGTAAACAGAATGTACCACCTACTGTCAGGCTGGTCAATTCTGTTAGCTACAACAGCTCCAAAGTTTTGCTTTTTGTGCT